CTTAGGCTCCTCTTCCTTATCCCCGTGCCTCTTAGCACTGCCCTGGACACTTGCTGCTTGCCCAGCTGTGCGTGAACCTCTGCAAGTAGTCTGCTGGAAGCACACATTGTGTATGGTGTGGTGGTAATACTGAAGGGACATTTGTGCATTGTTTTGAGTAACACAAGATCTAAAAGACACCTGACTAATTAGGTATCTCAGAACTAAACTGTGGATTATTCAGGCTATTGGCTTGGCCACCAGTATAAATGGATTAAACTGTGATTAATAAATTTACAGAACCAAGGTACTGTTATGATGCTGCTAAACACAATATCCAGATGCATCTGCTGGCTCAGGTCTCCAGATAAGATAGGAAAACCCTCTCCAGTCCTGCAGTCATTCTGTGCCTGTCTCTTGTCCTAGGCTGTGTCCCATGGTGGGATCAGGGACAGATGCTGGTCTAGAGGAAGCCCTACTTTGACCCAGTGCAACTGTTTTACTGTTCATGGTTTCTTTTCTCTATTAAGATGTAACGCATAGGGGAGAAGCATTTATGTGAAAAATCTATCTGTAGGTAAATTTGAACCCTTATGATTGCAGAGAAATTCTGTACAACATGACATGGTGAACAAGGAGTTGACTCTGAGCAAGTGGGGAATGAGATGCTTCTGGAAGTTGCTCGTGGCATCTGATACTCTCAGTTCAGAGACAGTTACTTCTTGCCAGACTTCAGAGTCTTCACCAGGCTTCCCTTAAAGACTGAGAGCTCCTAGCTAATTGTGAAGGAAACAAGTGATCGACTGACTTGTTTAAAACAGATATGCCACAAGAAAATAAAAAAGCATGTGCACTTGGAAGTTGGTAGGGAGTGCACTAGAAAGATTTTGCAGTACTTTGAGACCAGAAAAAAAGCTTTTTCCAGGTCAGATATGTTATTTTTAGAGCTGCCTAAAAAACAGACTTTCTGTCTTACAGAATATTTCAAGGCTTTTTTTTTTTTTTTTTGAGTTGGAAGGAGAAAAAGACACTTCAAAAACATTTTGTGGAATGGAAAATTTTGAAGAGCACAATGCAGTCATCTGTTTTGGTGCATCTTACCTATGCAAAATGATGAGATGAGTGACTACAAAGCTTGGTGTGATCTCAGCCCAAAGAGAAAAAAGAGAACAAATGTCATCTCTTCCAAGGCAGACCCTGCACCTCAGCGAGATGCACTAATGCCAAATTAAATCTTTTCTGCATTAACTCAGTTGAAGAACTGCTGATTAGATAATATATTCCCATCCAGCATCAATGCTTTTTGTTTGCTTATTACCTGAAGTGCTTGAGCAGGATCTGCACAGGATATCTGTCAAGGAAGCCAGAGTAAGCTGTTGACGGTGGAAGAGTGAGAAGAGGAAAGGAGCAGTTGCATTCTCCTGGGAATTGAAACATACAACTAGGGAGTATGTGGGGATGTATAAGGGCAGCCAGGACTCAGCAATGTTTTGGAAGGGGAAGATACAGGGATGGTAGAAAGAGAATACTACGAGATACAAACAAGTGGTTCTCTAGTAGGAGTGTGTCCTTCCCTCTCCATAGTATTTCCCCAAGGCTCCCCTGCATCTCATCTTTCTGAGGTAACTTTGCAGTAGTTGAGGTAACTAATGCAGCTTTCTTGGTACTCAGCGTGCATTTTCCTGGAGCAAGTCATCCCTGCAGGACCTGGTGGCAAGTGTGTGGGCTGCTGACATCAAATAGATGTTCTGTGGCATGGGCCAGGGTGCTGATGGTTTCTGCCCTTCCTAGTGCCTGGAGGAGCCAAGATCTGGAGGGACAATTTGGAGTCCTGTCCAGAATGGTGGGGAGGGCAAGGTAAGGTTTTGGGAACTTGCTGGAGCCTCTGGAGTGATGGATGAGATAAAGCATTGGGAGAGCAGTTCCTTTTGAAGACATGATTTTAGTGCTCCAATAGACATGCAAAACCTTTTCGATCTTTTTCTTTTCAAGACTTATTTATCTTTGACTTACCTCATCTGGTATTGTGCAGGACTTGGATAGGATACTGAAGTTCAAACCCAGCATTTCAGGGATAATTCCTAACTGAGCTTGCAGTCAGTATCCTAACAGATGATGAGTCTCAGGTTTTCAGAGATACTATAGGTGCAGAGCTGCTAATTCCTATCGACCATTCCTGGGCAGGGCACACCTTTAGGTTCTTGGAGTCTGAAACCCACTGAAAAGGTGCAGCAAAGATGAATGATTTTTGGAGCCTCATGGGTGGTTTTGATATGGGGTTGTGCCTCATCTTCTGTCTCTCCTGTCAGGCCCGGGTGAAAGATCTTGAAGACCAGTGTCGCAGTCAAACAGAGCAGTTCAGCCTCCTGTCTCAGGAACTCAAACAATTCCGGCTTCAAACAGGAAAGATCGACCTTCTTACCTCTACGCTGGTGACTTCTGAACTTCCTCTTGCTCTGTGCAGCTCTACCCCACAGCCCCACTGGGAGAAGGGTAATTGCTGGAAATGCCTGTGGGTGTTTTGGCAAATGAGTTGTTATTTATGTAAATGGAAAGGTGTAAGGGAAATAATGCAAACATTTAGTTAACTTTTAGAATCTCTCTCTCTTGTAAATACCTTTGGTTCATCTTGTAGTCATAAAGAGAACCTGGCATTTCTCTGACCAAAGAGAGCCCAGGGTGTCCAGTCTGTTGCACTGGTAAATTAATCATATTTTTAGAGACTTGAGCTGCTCTAAAGGATGTTTGCTCACCGTGATGGTCACTGCTGATCTTGTATTCTGCCTGTGGCTAAAAGTAATGGACAGATTATTTTATTGCAGAATCGACTGTTCCTGGATTGCTCGCTCACCAGAGCGCAAAGAAGGTTCACAATGAAGAGACTGATGAGTTGGAGTCATCCCAGCAGGCACCTGATGCCACTGTTGGCTCCTCAGTTGCTCCTGTCAGTTCTCAGAAACAAGCCAAGAAAGTGGAATCTCAGTCAAACTCTTCAAAATCAGAATCTATGCAGAACAGTCCAAAATCTTGCCCAACTCCAGAGGTCAGTATGGGAGTCCCCTCTGTGGCCTGTGCTTTGTAGCCACAATGGAATAAATGCATTGCTGAGAGCACCAGTAATGTTGCATTCATTCCCTCCTGTCTGCCTGAAGAAAATGGGAGAAAACAAAGAGAAAAGCTGTAGGAAAAAATTGAAAAGGCCTATGCCTGTAATGCTCGTTTGAACATACTGCTGTGTTCCAGGAAGAATGACTTTGGCAGTTCAAATACCAGAAAAAAATACCTACTTTGTGTTCTGGTGCCTGTGGTGGGTCTTCATCAATAATAATTTGCTTTGAGATCTGCTTTAAAAAGGCAGCCTGAACTGGTTCATTTGCACCATTTCAAACGAACACAAGGGAAGTGCATTTCTTCAAAAAATATGATTGTATTACATAGCTCATTGACACTGGATGTAAAACTCCAAGATGTCAATGGGATCAAAAAGACTGAGACAAATGTCTCAAAGGTGCTTTGGCCAGTAGCCACCAAATGCATTCAGGGTGCAGCCTCCAGGTTAGGAAGTCCATAAGTAGCTGATCACTAGAAAGCAAGAGTCTATACCAGCAAGATGAGTATTATGCTTGCCCTGTCTCTTCCTTCAGCTTATGCTACTGTCTGTTATCAGAGCCAGCTCTTTGGACTAGATGGCCCTACCAGTTCCAACTAAAGCTCTGTCTAATGTTCTGAAAGTACATAAACATTATATTGAAGTATTTACAGGTGCTAGAGGGGAACTGTCTGAACAGAAGCACTTAGACTTAGACATCTAATAGAGCTATAAGGTTTCCTTTGTTCAGATTACCGTTTGTGTTGCACGCAGGCACAACTACCGTTTAGAGATAGCAAGAAATTAATATACTGAATTATGGATATGTAGGATGGAAGGGGCCTCCAGAGTCTCTAGTCCAGTCTCCTACTCAAGTGGGACTATCGTCAACACTAAATCAGCATGGCCATGGCTTTGCCTAGCTGAGGCTCTTAAGTTTTTCAAGAATGCAGATCCCCCAACTCAGTGGGAACCTGTCCCAAAGTTGCATCACCCACCTGGGCGAGGAGTTTTTTTCTAATGTTTGACTGGAACCCCTGAAGCTCCAACTTGGAGCTGTTGCCTCTTGTTATGACTTCTTCACCTTAAAAGTCATTCTTCCAGATGGTCCTTAAGCCCAGTGGCCAGACTGGCACCATACATGAGCTTAGAGGACTTGTTCACTGACGTTCAAACCCTTTGAGTGTTCCTTTACTCTGATTTGGGCCATATCATATCCTTCATCTTTAATGTTTTTAGGTGGACACTGCAAGTGAAATGGAAGAATTGGATGTTGACAGCATCTCTCTGATGCCAGAGCCGGGCAGCCAAGGCCCTGCAAAGCTCCAGGTGTTCTTAGCTCGATACAGGTACTGGGTCATTTCTTATGGTCTCTGAGGTTAGACAGATTATTTCATAGTTGCCTACTTTACACTCTTCTCTAGCATTCACCGCTGTTAGGGGTGGATGTTAGGTTAGAGCATGTATCTTATTTGTCCATGGGATTTTGAGACCAATGTGCTTAGCTTAACAAAAACATAGTAAGTTCATTTGTTGTTCAGTGAACAGCACTGTGTGAAACTCTTTTTTTTTTTTTTTTTTTTTTAATATGATACTGGATGGAAAATTGAGCTTGAACTGACACATTCCTTGAAATGCCTGATTTCTCCAAAATAGTCCAAGAAAATCTTATTCCAACAATTAAGAAAATTTCATCCCAGAAATCCTGAATTGAAGTTTTTGACCAAAATAATTCTGGTTGTAATTTTAAAAGAAAAAGTGCACAGAATAAACCCAGATTTTCCTGATAACTGTTGCAATTCACTGAGCAATAGCCATTTACAGTTCAAAAAAAGTATTGGCATACCCTTCAACTTTTAGACTGTGGGTTGGGAGGAAGAGAGCTGGGATGATTCTGTGCTTGTGAGGAGCAGACCAAATGTGATCTGTGTTTTCATGTCAGAGTCTTGGGCCCATAAGGTCTTGCTCAGCTCATAGAGAGAATAACATTGCTTTGGCATGTTGAAATCCCTTTTAAAGACTAAAGAACAGGAATTAGCAGCAGGTGCTTGCAAAGATAAAGATTTTTTTATGAGGCATTTTCCTGTCGTTGGCCCTCTGACTAACTCAAGGATCCCTGGGTGGGCAGGTTAGAACTATTTGGAGTCAAAATCCTGTTGCCAATGTATTTATCATTTTGACACTAGTGGAGCTTTTGGACTGCTGCTTAAAATGTGAAGTTACAGCACTGAGGGTTGTATAACTCGGGTCCTGAGGGTGAGATAAATATGAAGAAAAATGCTATAAACCTTTTCTTTACTCATGTAACTTTTGTCATGCACAAATCAGCTCATTCTTAGGGTTTTAAATATGAGAATTTTCAGATTCTGTGCTGTGGTTGTCCTTGACAGTTGTACGGCTGATAAAGTGTACCTTAAATGTTCGGGGCATTTTCCATGCTGTGGGGTTTTCTTGTTGTTTTTTTTTTTTTCCCCCCCAAACTATTAAGTACATGAAATGTAGAGAGCTATCTACGTAAAATAGTTAAGAGTGCAGGTGAATTTAAGGATGTCTACTTTACAAATGCTGAGTCCTACAACTTATCTACTTGGTACACTCAGAAACACAGCAGATACTCAGGTAATTAAAATCTTTTTTTAAACACTTTCTTGAGTCATTGTGATCTGTTCCTTCAGACGTCACAAGACATCTGTTCTGCTACTCAGAAAATTATTCCTAGCTGCTCTTTGAACATGGAGCAATATGTTACTAGTTATATATAAAACTATAAACTAGAGTCTTGACCTTTGTCTGTGGAATTTGCTGCTTGCAAATATTGGATGCAGTCCCATGAATTGTAAGCTGATCTAACATCACAGCTTTAATGTGTTGTTGTGAAAGTTCCTATACAAAGTAAGTCTTCATATTGTAAATATTTCAGCTACAATCCTTTTGATGGACCTAATGAAAATCCAGAGGCAGAGCTTCCGCTGACTGCTGGAGAATATATTTACATCTATGGAGACATGGATGAAGATGGCTTCTTTGAAGGTGTGTTTTAGTAGAATGAAATATGACCGAACTGCTGTGGAGAATTGATCTCTTAAAAAAAACAAAAAAAAAACCCCAAAAAACCCCCAAAAAAACCAAAAAACACAAAAAACCACACAAAAAAAAAAAAAAAAAAAAAAACAAAAAAAAAAACCCCAAAAAAAAAAACCCAAGAGAGGAATTTAGTGAATCGTGAAACTTCAGGGTAAAGGTTTTCTGCCCAAAGTTAGTTTGTTAGAGGGAAGAGCAGATTCTGTTGGAAAAGGCTTTTTTTATGTCATGATTAAATTGAGTCTAAAACATGAAATCCTGGTCTAGTGATTTCAGTGTGGGTTTTGCCACTGCTTTCAGCAGAGCTCCAACTTTCATCCCCATATGGTTCCTCCCTAGCCATGGAGAGGAACATGTTCAGCCCTGGGCACCTTCTGCAGGTGGTCTGCTCCCCTCTTCCCAGTGACTGCATAGTGAGCCAGAGACTGTAGGCAGGTGATGGTCTTGACTACCTGTTGCTCTTTTGGCAGAGTGGGGTATAAGCCAAGCAGCCCAAACTACAGACATTATCCTATTTGGTGTCATACAGCGTGTTTCTCTTTTGGCATTTTTAAAAACACAATCCTGGTTGACTAGTAGGCAGATGGAATTGAAACCAAGAGTTGTGGACTGTAAATTTGTAATGAAGTTTCTTTTTGGAGCTGGCTTAATGGGATGAAGGATCCTAATTTACTGAGGTGCTTTGCAAGGGCTGAGGCAAATGCATGCCATGTTGCACTGCTTGCTCTTTGACTGTTCTAGCTCTTTTTCTTTCTATTTCCAAGCTTCTCATGTGTGTGTTTGTTTGTTTATTGTTTGAAGAATAAAAAGGTTATTCTTTACTAAAGTTTTCTGCTTTCCCTGCTTTCAATTGATTTGCTGTAGGTAGAGTTTAAAAGGGCAAAGTAAGCGCAATCCCTGCGCACTGCGCATTTGACTGTGATGTGATGGTTCTTGCACGTACCAAGAGTGCTGTGGTATCAGTCATCCCTGTGGGTCCTTTTGGGACATCTGTATTACAGAAGCTAGCATAACAAAGGAGGGAACTAAAAAGAAGGCCAGAGCTGAATACAGAGCTGGAAATGGATTTTCGTGAGGAAGTACTACAAAACTCAAATCTGTATGGCTGGGAGAAGATGTAAAATCATCAATCTGCGTAGTTTGGGAAGACTAGAAAAAGGCACTTAAGTTAGTGAAAGAGCTGTGATGAGGAACAATAGCATAATGAAGAAGGAAAAACCCTTAAGCTAATTACACAAAACAACTTTCCAGTTAGTTGGCTCTGGAATGTGTGGAGCCGTGAGTGTTCTCACCATGGCCATTAGGGTCTAACGAGGACAACCTTAGAAAATGCAGGAAACTTTGCCAGGAATAACCTCCCAGAGGTGGTTTTTTTTCATTCCTGACAGTAGTGTAGTTATGACATAATGTAGATGTTGTCACATTGTCTTCACAGATGGGTTGGAAGGCTGAACGGGAGATGCAGTCGTAACAGGTTTCCTGTTTTTTGTTTAGGGGAGCTGATGGATGGCCGGCGAGGGCTGGTCCCCTCCAATTTTGTTGAGCGAGTTTCAGATGATGACCTCATGACGTTTCTGCCTTCGGAGCTGAATGATCTCACCCATAGTTCATACCAGGAGAAAAGCTTTGTCAGTGCAAGCACAAGCAGTGGAGATAAGAGTGATTTCTCCATTGAAGAAGGTAGCATCAGTCCATTGGCCAGTAGAGCAGAAGGAGACCAGGAGGAACCTGTTAGTCATACAGCAGTGCCTTACCCAAGAAAATTGACTTTGATCAAGCAGCTTGCCAGAAGCATAGTTGTAGGCTGGGAAGCACCACTTTTGCCAGCTGGCTGCCCAGACATACAAAGCTACAACATCTATGTGGATGAAGAGCTACGTCAAAACGTGAAGAGTGGCTTTCAGACCAAAGCCGTCATTGAAAAGCTGGATTTAAAGACGAAGGCTTACCGTGTATCTGTGCAGAGTGTGACAGAGCAAGGCAGTTCTGATAAACTGCGATGTACTTTCTTTGTGGGGCAAGACTTTTGTGTGGCACCAGCTATGCTGAAGGTCAGAAGCGTCACTGCCACATCAGCAGAGGTCATGTGGCTTCCCTGCAACAGCAATTACAACCATGCTGTGTATCTCAATGGGGAGGAATGTGACATAACAAAACCTGGGGTCTACTGGTACACTTTCCGCAACCTGCAGCCGAGCACTCAGTATGTTGCCAAGCTGGAGGCCCGGCCCTTGAAAACACCTTGGGAAGAGGTCCCAGCGGGACAAGAGCAGAACTCAGCTGTGATACACTTCACTACCCCACTAGCAGGTATCAGAGCAGTCATGTCCATTGCCACTGTGCATGGAATGCTTGGAGCAGTGCGCTCTGTCATTACTTGGTTATGAAGCCTTGGGGTGAAGGGAAGCAAGGTTTGCTAGGTCCCAAAGCCTGAGATGCTGTCCTGTTCTGTCTTAATGTTTTTCTTCCTTTATTTTCAAAATTTATTATCTCTTTTGTTTCCATTTGCTCAGAGAAGACATCCCCTTTGCTGATTTGAACAGCATGCCTCTCAGGGCATGGAAGATCTGGTTTGCCATGACCTTGCTCTAAGGGTTGCTGCATCTTGGCCTCAGCTACTTTTGCAAAGTTCTGTTTTCTGTGCATTCAGGCTTTCACAGAACAAGAGCACCTTATTTTCTCTGGTTCTGTCTATCATTTCCCAAGACTAGCCTGGCTGTTCTAGTGCGGTTCTGCAGTGGCAAGTCTGGTGTGAGAGTTTTCTCTTTGACTCTAACCAGTGTTTAGTTTAGCTTTATGTTGTAGTGAGATAAGCAAGAGGAAAATCTGTTTGGTCTTCCACAGGCACACCTGATGCTCCTTTGGATGTCCAGGTAGAAGTCGGCCCCTCACCAGGTATCCTCGTTATCAGCTGGTTACCTGTCACCATTGATGCTGAAGGATCTTCCAATGGAGTTCGCGTCACTGGTTACGCTGTGTATGCGGATGGACAGAAGGTATTCTGCTGGTGCTGGGCGAGGCTGGCGTTTGTGCAGGGGTTGGCTGGAGGCTGGTACGGGCAGTCGCAGAGCCTCGAGACATCGAAAGCAGCTGGTGACTGTACCAGTCAGCCCCGACATGTGATGAATATTAATGTTACTGAGGTGCTCCTGTGACCTAGCCAGGACTGGGCAGTACTTCGTGTATTTGTGAGACATAAAGAAAAAGGAAGACAAGGCCATGCTCTGAAAAGTGAGGAAACTTTTTTTTTTCAATTGGGAGAGGACTTTTCTAATTAATATGTCATTAGCATGTTGAATGGAAGCCAACTCGGCTGCGGGTTGGTAACGTATGGATGATCCAGACTTGTGGGATCCTGAGTAGGAGACACAGCAACAGCAGAATGCAACCACAGTGCTTGAACGGTGTTTCATGCTGGCATCAGTAGGGAGACTCTTCATTCCTCGTTAGAGTGCTTAGTTTGTTTCTAACCTCTTTAGCACATCGTAGCACTTTCTTGCTGTGGACTATCTTTCTTGTGTATTTTTAATGCTAGTATTACAGTGTCTTCCTTCTTCCATGTTTCTGGTGTGTCCACCTGAAACACGGTGGGGAAGAGGAGTAATGACACTACCTTTCCACAGTGATGCCAATAAGCTGTGGGAAAGCTACCAAATAAGCTCATCTCTGTCAATGGTGTTATACCCAAAAGTTGTGGTTTGGTTAAAATGAAGAGCAGTAAAAAAATGCCACTTTTCAAAAACAATCCTTCCCATGCTTTCCATATAGGAAATGGATAGTGACAAAAAATAGAGAAGGTAGAAACTACAGAAAAATTGAAAATATGTGATAAAATATGGAGAAATACAGAAAAGGTTTCAAAAAGCTTGATCTAATAAGCATGCCATGAGGAGGCAATGATAGTCCTTGGCCTGGAAAGGAGTGATATCAGAGAAGGGACAATGCTTGGGCTATTCATTTTGACTGCTGCACACCAAAAAAGACATCTGTCCAGATTTTTGATGCGTTCTTGATATAACTAAGCTAGGAAACTTTATGTGGCAGGACCCTTCACTAGCAAAACAGGACAATTAGTGTCAGCCTCCTCTGTCTCACCTTAGGCGCTAGCTTGATCCTTGGGGAAGCAATGAGCTCAGTGAGCAATGAGTCCACAGGGCATAGACAGAAAGAAGTACACGACCTTGCCACCATTTGAGGCTTGTCTCTGGACTATGAGGAGTGCAGTGTAGTTCTCCAGCCCTTTCTTAAATTAGGAACAGGTGAAGGGAGAGGTGTATAAACTCCCCAGGGTCCAGTACAAATACTGGTAAAGAACCTCCAAGGATATTCTGTATTAAAAGTGTCCTGTGGTCTTCTGCACGCATGATGTTGTGCCACTGGCCATGGGAGAGGCAAGCCACAGCTGTTTAAAAAAGCACAGTGCAAAACAGAGTGGTGCTGTGTTGGATGATCGCTTTTTATCATGGAAGTCCTTTTTCCTCTGCACAGGTTAAAAAAGGAGGAGTCTGGAAAAGGAGGCGGAAGGGAGCCCCCAAAAAAGGCATGGCCTTCTAAAGCATAGGGAACAAGGAGAGTTAAAACCTGGAGTAGGAGGGAATATAGTCTTATTTTATAGAACATCCAGTTTATCAAACGGTTATGGTAACAATTTTCCTTTACTGTTCATTCTTCCCCGACACTGTGCAGAAGGGTGGGAATCCCAAGAGCTTTGGGGACATAAGTCGTTAACTTTGGATTCAGGAATTGTCATTCTCGGAAGGGCTGAGCTGTCCACAATGAATAATTGCTCCCTGGTCTTCTGCTTGCAGGCAATAGAAGTTACTTCCCCAACAGCTGGGAGTGTCCTGGTGGACTTGTCCCAGCTTCAGATGTTCCAGGTGTGCCGGGAGGTTTCTGTGAGAACAATGTCTCTGTATGGGGAGTCAGTGGATTCAGTTCCAGCCCAGATTTCCTCAGTCTTGCTGCGAGCATCTCAACGCTCTTCACCTTCAGCTTCTGCAGTATCGA